CGTAATTCTACTTCTAATATAGAAGTAGAATTTTCTGCCTGGCTGCAAAAGAACTGCCCAGCACTGATCTTCACTAGCCTCTCATTTTCATGAAGAGCTTTATTTTTAGACTTTTCTTTCTGAGCATGATGAACAGCTTCTGTGTACTACCCTAGTGATGACACCATTGATTCAAGCACTGTAATCTTTATCATATCTCTCCTCTGAAGGATTCTTGACAGAAAACTGAGCTCTGTGAGGGCATCATACACAACTACAAGACTGAAAACAAAGGATACGGTGTTGAGAACGTTATAGATTCCTTTGTATTTTAGTCTGTTGAATCCTTCTACACAGCATTGGCTGATGAAGAAAATTGTACCTGGAGCACTTTGTAGTTCTCCCATAACTGTCTTATAGTTCTCTCACTTGAAGCAAAGCAGCAAACAGTGGAGACGCATCCTATGATGAGAGAATGCTGGCCAACGGCTGTGTATAACTCTCTCTGGTTCTTAGGTGAGGTTTGATATAGACTGTAGAGCTTGTAAAAAATAGCTCAAATGTTTTAGTCCATTGACTTTTTTTCAGGACATCACCAATTCTCAATCCTAGGCAATGATTTAACCAGTGCCACCAAAACAATATCTGCATCGCAATTACTGCCTTTCTGTTCAGCATTACTGAAGCTGCATCACATGCAAAGACTGTTAAGTAATTGCCAAAACACTGGTCATCAAAGCTATATTTTTTAAGACATCCCAGCAGTGGCTTTATGATAACATCTTCTGTGGTTCCATCCAGCTTCATCAGCTCAAAAATTGATATAAATGCCAACTATATGGTTATTTTGGTTTTCCCAAATCTAAAGCCCAACAGCTTAATCTTAGACACCTGCTCCACCAGTGCTCCCTCTGGTGACAGATGGAGATCATTGGTACATGACTGAACCCACTGATTACATTTGTCTTCAAAACACATTTTAAAAACATGAGTTTAGCAATATATATTTTTTTTTTCATTTTCTGCATTCACTGCAAACGATTGATCATGTTAATTATAAACTTATAAAGTATAACATTAAACTTAATTTAATGTTATATAGTTTAAAAAATAGCATGATGCAATGCCACATAAATGAGAATATTTGTCTTGTAGCCCCTCAGAGCCAGAGGGTGTGTAGAGCAGCACCAAGTACCAGCCATAAGCACACAATGCCTAAGTTGGCAGGTAGGATTACTCATTAAGTGAATATTATTTTAATCTATATACACAGAATAAGCTGTATACTCCGAAGTATGAGCATTTTGTTCAAATATAAGCAAAAAGAGTAGTGATAATGGAATAGCTCCTATTGGTTTGGAAGAAACAAGGTATGGCTGATATATATTGTGTGACCAAACAAGTATAAGTTCTAAATGCTTTCTATACCCAAGGCATATAGGTGACTGGTTATAATTTTAAGATTAAAAGTAAATAGTAGCAACACAAATCCCACATGTGAAATTGAATATTATGAAATGTGAAATGAAGCAGAACACTTAGCCCTTCACATCCTGTTGTTGGGAGCTGGAGAAATTCCACCTTTCTCCAGCAGAGTCCGCCGTGGATCCTCTGAGGGAGCCTCCTGCACAGCTGCAGCTGGTCAAGATCATCAGAGGATCCACTACTTAAGCTGTCTTCCGTCCTTGCCTCAACGCCGCAGTGTTGTTCCAGTTGGTCAGCGCTTAAGCCTAGATCCTCAGAGTAACTCGATGACTTTTGAATCCAGCTTGGGTTCTAACCCTTATTTCTGTTTTCCAGGAAACCTGTGCCTCCCCTGTGAAAGCTCAGGAAGAGCAAACCTGCCGAGCTGACCCTCAGAGCCAAACCTGAAGAATCACAGAGAACCTCCAAGCAGCTCTGGACTAGAGCTGGGAATCCCTAAGCCAAGGTCTGTTCATGCTAGATGCGAGACGCTGAAGCAGCAAACGGACTCTGCTGATGAACTCTTCTCCAGAACCAACAGAGACTCTCCCAAAGCTAACCTCAAGAACCCTCAAGGTACAATCAGTAAACTTCAGGAAATCAAACNTGTGATAGTGTGAAATCTGCTTCCCGTATGAGTGGAGCGATTGTGATTTTTCTTGATGAAACATCTAAAGTGAATGATTTGGTTGAAAGGGGCGTGGTCATTCATGACACCTTCACGCCGGCTCTCCCGCTGGTTACTCCAGCTAAAAAGATTGTTATTTCAAACGCACCTCCGTTTATTAAAAATGATCTCCTTGCTTAAGAGCTGTCCCGCTATGGACAACTAGTTTCACCCATAAAGATGGTTTCTTTGGGCTGTAAATCTCCGCTTCTCAAACATGTCGTGTGTCACAGAAGACAGGTTTTTATGATCCCAAAAGACACAGCTACCGACCTTAACCTGTCCTTTAATTTTAGGGTTGATGGGTTTAATTATATGGTCTTTGCTTCCTCTGAGAATATGAAATGTTTTGGCTGTGGTGCAGAAGGTCATATAATCTGATCGTGCCCAGAGAAAACTGGACACGTTGTTGATGATGTGTTAACAGATCAAAAAATGTATCGCTTAAAGAAACTGATTTTGAAAGTCAGAGCCCAAGCAACTACTGCTGATGAGGATATTTAGAGAAGCGTTTTATGTTTCTTTGTGCCTTTTCTTTTGTTTCTTTATCTCTATGGGTGACTTCAAAATAGGCACTTTATATATAAATGGTGCCAGAGATGAAGTGAAAAGGGCTGAGTTCTTTAGATTTATGACTCTAAAGAAAATTGATATAATGTTGATTCAGGAAACGCATAGCACTGTTGATAACGAGAGCGATTGGAAGAAGGAATGTGGAGGGGAGTTTTTTTTCAGTCACAAATCGAGTCGTAGTGGCGGTGTGGGGATTTTGTTTTCTAAAAATCTTTTGCCTATCTCTTGCGAAACAGAAGAGATAATTAAAGGTCATTTATTGAAAGTCAAAGCGAAATATGAACATGTGAATTTATTTTACCTTAATGTGTATGCTCCAACTAAAGGAACTGATAGAATGATTCTACTGAACATCTTAGGGGACATTGTAAATAATAATGATTGTTTTTGTGTGGTGATTTTAATTGTACTGAAAATCCCTTACTTGACAGGAATGGTAAATGGTAAATGGCATGTACTTATATAGCGCCTTTACTCAAGTCAGGAGACTTGACCAAAGCGCTTTACACTACATTCATTCACCCATTCACACACACACTCACACCCTGATGGTGGCAAGCTACATTGTAGCCACAGCTGCTCTGGGGCTCACTGACAGAAGCAGGGCTGCCGTACACTGGCGCCACCGGGCCCTCTGACCACCATCAGTAGACAATGCAGGTGAAATGTCTTGCCCAAGGACACAACGACACTGAAAGTCGGAGTCGGGGCTTGAACCGTCAACCCTTCGATTTCAGGGCAAACTCCTACATCCAACGCCACTGTCGCCCCAGTGGGCCTCGAAAACTGGAGGCTCAAGTCACACTGCATGAATTGCATGCTGCCATGATGAGCCTAAAGAATGGTAGATCCCCTGGCATGGACGGTCTTCCTGTTGACTTCTACAAGTCCTTCTGGTCTGTGATTGCCGAGGACTTGCTGGACGTGATCACAGACAGCCTGCAAAGAGGTTGGCTGCCTCTGAGCTGCAGACGGGCAGTCGTTACTCTGCTTCCAAAGAAAGGAGATTTACAGGATCTAAGGAACTGGCGACCAGTCTCTTTACTCTCTACGGACTACAAGATATTTTCCAAAGTCTTGGCTACCAGACTTAGAGAAGTTATGTCTACAGTTATTCACAGAGACCAGACGTATTGTGTGCCTGGCAGGTTGATAAGTGATAACGTCACTTTAATCAGGGATGTTTTGGAAATCTCCAGCTCATTGGGCACAGATATTGGTCTGATTTCTATAGATCAAGAAAAAGCTTTTGACCGGGTTGAACACCAGTATTTGTGGCAAACTTTGGCTGCTTTTGGTTTCAGCTCTGGTTTCATAGCTATGATCCAGGTTTTATATCATGACATTGCGAGTGTACTTAAAATAAATGGAGGTTTAAGTGCTCCTTTCAATGTTTCAAAAGGTGTGAGGCAAGGCTGTTCTTTATCAGGGATGCTTTATTCTTTGGCAATTGAACCTTTGCTTCATAAGCTGAGGAAAGATTTATGTGGTGTTTCTATTCCTGGGTGTGATGTCTCTTTAAAATTGTCAGCTTATGCTGATGATTTAATTGTTTTTGTAAACACACAGGAAGATACTGATGTTTTAGTCAATACTGTTTTTCATTTTCGTTGTATCTCTACTGCAAAAGTAAACTGGAGAAAGAGTGAGGCTATAACTGTAGGAAGTCGGTTGGGGGATCAGCTCGGTCTGCCTGGAGGCTTAGTGTGGAAAAGGGGTGGCCTTAAATATTTAGGTGTGTTCTTGGGTAATGAAAAGTTCGTGCAAAAAAATTGGGAAAATGTTTTGGATAAAGTTAAGGGTCGACTCTTGAAGTGGAAGTGGATTTTACCTAAAATGTCATATAGAGGACGAGTTCTTGTCATTAATAACCTAGTTTCTTCCACCATGTGGCACCGGTTGATGTGTGTTGATCCTCCAGTTTCTCTTTTATCAAATGTTCAAAGGGTTCTGGTAGATTTTTTGGGGGATAAACTTCACTGGATCCCTCAAAGTATCCTGTTTTTGCCGAGAGAAGAAGGTGGTCAAGGCCTGGTCCACATGGCCAGCAGAGGGGCTGCTTTTCGTTTTCAGTTTATTCAGAGACTGCTCACAGGACTTGCAGATCTGGTGTGGAGGAGTATATCATGCTGCATTCTTCAGAGATGCGTCTGGATTTGCCTCTCTTTCTGATGGACTCTAGCAACTTTAACTCTTCTCTTCTTCCAGTTTTTTACAAGAATATTTTCTCTGTGTGGTCTTTGCTGAGGAAGGAGAGACAACAGCAGGCCGAGTCTCTACACTGGCTGCTCCAGGAACTGGTTCTGTTTGGGAGATGGTTGGATTTTCCTACTTGGGGGGCAACAACCTGCCCCAGACTGCTCCACACTGCAAAAGTGTATTGCCTTGGGAGGGTGGTGGAGCTGGCTGGACCTCGGCTGGATGATCCTGTTAAGCTCGCTGCCTGTTTGGGAATAAAGTCTGTTCGATTTGTCGGTCAGCTCTTGTGCTACTGGAAGTACAAGTTAAGTGAACATGAGTGTTCACTTTCGGCTGATTATCATGAGGGTTCTGTGTCACCAAATCACTTGAATCCTTTTCCATCCTTCAAACAGTTTCCTGGAATAAAGAACTGCCCTGGCCCTTTTTGGATTCAGTGGACAATAAAGGAATCTCCCTATAAGGAGCTTCTGGAAAAGTTTTCTATAGAATGATTGTTAAAACTCTCAATCAACACAAACTGAATGGATGCAGTGACACAGTATGGAGAACTTATTTCTCCTTAAAACCTGAATTCAAACCTGAATGGAAAACGTTGTATAAGCCTCCACTAACGAAAAAACATGCAGATTTACAATGGAGAATCCTTCATGGTATTGTAGCTGTTAATTCTTTTGTGTCTGTTATTAATCCTTCTGTGGAAGATAAATGTCCATTTTGTGAACAGAGAGAAGTGTTTCATTGTTTTTCTGACTGTGTTCGTCTGTTGGCTCTTTTTGTGCTTTCGAGAACTATTTTCAACAGATATGGTGAAATGTTCACTAAACATGGATTTATTTGTGGTTTTAGATTCACATGCCAAAAAAAGAGCAAATGTGAACTGATTAATTTCTTGTTAGGACAGGCAAAAATGGCTGTGTACATAAGTAGAAAGAGGAAGGTGGTGGAAGATTTGAATATTGACTTGGTTTCTATGTGTATTAACTTGGTGAAGTCTAGGCTAATACTTGAATTTAATTTTTACAGATCAGTTTCAGATTTAGATACTTTCTGTCACATCTGGAGTTATGGAAAAGTAATTTGTAGTGTGGTAGGAGGATAACTCATTTTTTGAAAAGTGTTAATGTAATATATTCTTTGGTGTTTGTTTTTTGTTGTTGTTGTTTTTTTTCTGTTACATAGTTTGTGATACTATGTTTATTATTTATTGATAATAAATTAGTTGTTAAAATCTCTCTCTCTCTCCTGGAGTTTACATTTTACAGTGTTAATAAATTAAGATTTTGGAGGTATTTTAAGTGTCCACTCTCACAAATTTCCATGAACCTGGCCTCAAGGTATTGCACAGTTGGTATACACATTCAATACACCAAAAAAAAATGTGGTGGGCCAGTCTAGTCCAAAATGCCAGGGCCGATTTTTTGTCCCAGTCCACCCCTGGCTGCATCCTAAATGCACCAGGAAGTGTTATCACAGATCCTTCCTCCCAGCAGCTGTAAGACTCTATAACCATCACTGTTCCCAACAACCTCAATAAGTTATTACATTCATGCTGATTTTACACAGTTTCTACCTTAGTCAATTAAATAACATGCCGCTGTCATTTTGCACATCTCTGATGATACTGCAATCTTCAAATATCCATTACTGTAAAAATGTCCATAGCTGTATATTGGTTATTTATTCTCCAGATGCACAGTTTGATATTATTAAAACACTTTACAGTATAGTATTTTATTGTTTATTGTTACTCTTTACTATTGTGTTATTCTTATACATTTTTCTAAGGTCTACATTTGTGTGAATATTTTTACTATAATCTTTTTGCCACTGTAAACATCAGAATTTCCCCATTGTCAGACATAAAGGGATTTTCTACTCTATTCTATTCTAGTGTCAAAATTTAATACCAAATGTGTGTTCTTTCAAAACAGTTGCTGCCATATTAAC